TTGACATTTTAAACCTTAATAAAAAATCGATACAGGGCTTTAGAATATCGATACAGTATCAGGAAATGAAATATCACGATATTTCAGTGTATGGATATTTTCTTACACCCCTGAGAGTAATACTAAAAAAGGAAATAAATAAATCACAATTGGAGGTTTGTCTGTTTATTTAGTAGAAAATGATAATAATAAGCACCTGCTGAAAAACTATTTTTTAAACTAAGCATCTTAAGTTTGGTTGTTGTTGTTGTTGTTGTTGTTGTTGTTGTTGTTGTTGTTGTTTGACACAATTTCATTTGGTTGTAATTATACATTTCTTCAAATCTCGTTCAAGAAAAAACAAAACAAAAATGTTTGATTTTTACTTCAAAGTTTAAAAAGATCACTTTCATCTTTAATGAATCACTGCAATGAATTTTTACTGCAAGTATATCAGAGTTTATACTTCTACATAAATGTTTATGGTCTGCTTTAAAAAAGTCTAAATATTTCTAATTCCATTTTTATTAAAATCAAAATGAAAACGCAGTTCAGGTGGTGTTTCCACATATTGGTGTTGTTTTGTAGGATGACACAGAGGCACTGCCTGGAGGGCCAGGTGTACTCGGTGCCTCTCATCCAACCCGAACTGAGGCGAGAGGAGGCTGTTCATCAAATCGCAGATGCCTTGCTGTACCTGGAGTCCATTTCTACAGACATTTTCAGAAGGCAAGTCCAGCACACACACTCATCTTTCACAGGAACTACAAAAACACAACTCAGCTCCTGAATTTTTATTTTTTTTTTCGTTTGAGTGACCACATTCACACTGCAGGCAAAAATGATTCAAATTAGATTTGTTTGGATGACACTCTGAATGTGACAAATCAGATTGTTTTTCCCAATCTGACCCACGTCTTTTTCATATGTTTTTCAAAGCAACTGCAGTCTGAACATTTATGTCACCTTTCATCCGACTTTTACGTCATCGAGGTGGGGATGTACAGATAGATCCAGATACTAATATTATTAATACCTGCATCATGCCGTTTAAGGCCTGTCTTCAGCCACAGAACAGAAGTCCATTAACTTTGTCTTTTTTTTTTAATTTCCTGCTCTGGACGAAAAGTGATTCACACAGTGAAGCACATGCACAGTAGGTACAGCGAGTGCATGCACCTGACCAGCAGATAGTATGGTCGATCAAGTAGTTTGTGATAATGTTTGAATCACGTGGCTACAATTTAAAGTGAAGTGAAGATAGTACTACTGACAATGTATTACTAGACTTGGAGAATTAAATGAGGATATCTGGTCAGAGGGAATTTGGATGTTATGAGAAATCAGATGAGGCTAATAAAATTATTTTAAAAGTATAAAGTTAAACACAAAAATGGTCCAAAACCCACAATAATAGATGTTTCCATGATGTTTTTACCCCCAGAATTCTTCTAAAAACACATAAAATTTATACTCGCCATGATTTTAATGTGTTATACAGTGTGTCTCACGGTGAGCATATATAGCATACTATATACACTCTCTGTATACTGTTGGCAGTATAAACTCACTGTGTATGTTGTGCTGCAATATGCACTCACTATATATATATATCTTCTTCCTGGTCTGTACTGGCTGAGTGCAATAAAATAATAATCTGTTTCAGATCATTACATCACCAAATGTTCCAACAGGTAAAGGCTTTGAAACTGTCAAGTTGTTATGTTTATAAAAATGAACAGCAAATACCTTTTTACCCACAAAACATCTATCAGAAAGGTCTGATAACTGTGAACCAAAGTGATATCAAATACCACAGCAGCTGTTGTAATGGATCAAGTTGTCATATTCAGCAGATTGTTTACAAACAGCAGCTGTTTTAGAACAGATGGCGCCGTTTGTCACCCTGAAAATAAAAATGTCTGCTGTAATTAGGTGGAAACAGTAATATTTATGGATGGAACATTTTGGGGATTTAAACCTCTTGAATTATGTCTTGTTTGCTGAAACTTTATTAGTAAAATCTCCTCAAACAGATCGGTTCAGCGAACACTCATTGTTGTGAAATTATTGACTCTCTTGGATGTTTAAGAGGTATTTTACTTTGATATCAGTTGTGCTTTTGGTCATATCCGTACTGGTTTGTGCTTTCAGGGTTTCTGAAAGTGTAGAGAAGAACCGGCGCCAGTTGCAGAGCGTCTCTGACCGGATCCGACTGGCTCAGGCCCGCGTTGATAAGATTAAAGGCAGCAAGAAAGCCACCAAGGTAACACACATCTCTCAGCTTCAAAATCAACTTTTTTACAAGTTTTTTTGTCTGATTTACAGTGTCGACAAAACAAAATGACTTTCATGTTTGTGTAGGTTTTCTCTAGTGCCAAGTACCCGGCCCCGGATCGGCTACAGGACTATTCATCTATCTTTACCGGGGCCGCAGACCCCTCCTCACAAACTCGCCCTCGTCACAAGATACAAAATAAACTTCGGCCTTTTGATGAGACGGCCTGGCAGGTGAGATAAAAACATTAAAAAAAAACGTTAAATCTACAAACATTGTTTTGCACTTTTTAAAATAACAGCAAAATACTCAGATCAGTAATAATATTATGTTTTATGTCAAAAATGATTTGACATTTACCACTAAAATGAGGAGAGCATGCAAACTCCACACAGAAAACCCCCCCCCAGGTCCAAACCGGGGATTGAACCCAGGGCGATCTACTGTGAGACAACAGTGATAAACGCTTTCCCATCATGCTGCCGTAAAGCATAATGTTTACAAAGAAGAGAAAAAACTGTTTCCAACCAGTATTAAAGACAAAACATTTGTGCCTGTCGTTCTCCATGTATGCAGATTTGACTGAGCATCATGCAGACAGTAAAATCTGTCACGTACCGTACATGCTGCATGGAGAATATCAGGAGCTGTGTGCACGAGCGTTTGTCATTTAGGCGAGGAAATTGACTGTAAGTGTGTGAGTGTGTGTGTGCCCAGCTCAGTTCAAGCTCATGCATTATTCATAGCGAAGCCCACAGTTTTTCCTGCACCGTCTCGTATTTTCTGCTGCGTGTGCTCGCTCCTGTCAGAGTGTTGATTTTTGTTTTTGTGAGCATGTGCGTGTGTTTGTCGGACTGAAAGAAAACACTGGCAATTTTCTTTGGTGGAGGAATACATTATTCAGTATCCTCCTGAATCGATGTCCCCGGTGATGTGATTGTCAGCGTTAGTGCGTCTGTGCTCAGAAACACTTTGGTGGCGTTTGTCTTTCAAGTTACTCAGGGTTCAGTTGGCGTTTTGCAGATCACTCCTCCCACAAAGACACACACACACACACAGCATGTCTTGATCTCTTCCTTTCAGGAGAAGTTAATGTATTTCCCGGTGTGTGTGAGCAACAAGAAGAAGTCCGAGGATGAGACTGAAGAAGGGTTAGGCAGTTTGCCTCGGAACATCTCCTCTGTCAGCTCTCTGCTGCTCTTCAACACCACAGAGAATCTGTGAGTCAGCACAAACAGACACACACATTTCATAGAAACTAGAAGTGTTGCGTTTTGTTTATTTTACTTTTTTCCTCATGTGTTTTTGCAGGATGACTATTTTTGAATACTTTGTGCTATTTTAGCCATTCATACATCTAAACATTCAGCTCATTCAGGAAATGGTTGCTGTGGCTTTTTAGTTTTTGTGACTTTTACACTTTTCAGAAAACGTATATTTAGATGTTTTCCTCAAATGCATTTAGATTTCTACAGTTCCTTAAAAACATGTTTCTCTATTAAATCTGCTTCAGGATCCTGGCTCTGTTTTTGTCTTCTAATGCTACTTCTTGACATCTTTTAGCTTTAGATTTATGTTTTTATGGAATACTTTACCTAAAAAAATATTGGAAATACATCAGGAAAATGAATTTCGTACAACTTTAAGAAGATATTTGCAAGGAAAACAATCATATTGAATAATTTATTGTTACAGTATATTCATTATTCTGTTCATTATAGTAAATGAAAATTAGTAACTGACTAGTTGTTTTGTATCCTGTCTTTATTCTGCATGTTAATCTGCAGCCTCTATTTCTATTTCTGTTTTTATAATTGTATTCATATTTTGTTTATTGTGTAGTTATTTTTGTTTTGAATTTATGTGAACTATGTATGCTATGTATTTTGTGTTGTTTTATGTTTAACGTGTGGACCCCAGGAAGAGTCGTTGCAGGAAATGCAACTAATGGGGATCCAAATAAAAGAAAGAAAGCTAGCATTTAGCAACTTTTAGCTGCTGTCTAAAGTTTTTTCACTTTTAGCTGCTACTTCTAGAAACCTTTCTTAGTCAAACTTTTCCACTTTCAGTAGTTAGTGTTTTGCTACTTTATGCTAGTCTTTGGCTTTTCTTATTTTTTAGATTTTCGTTAGCTTTTTTATTACATGTAGCTTTTAGCTAACATGTTAATGTTTTGATACTGTTAGCTTTTACTCATTTTAGATTTTAGTAAGCTTAAGCTTTTACCCACATTTTTGCTACTCTTAGCTTTTTGCCACTCATGACTCAAGCTACTGTTTTACTCCTTTTGCCTTTTTTTAGCTTTAACAACTCAATTGCATCATATTTCATCGGTCATTCTGCTCTCAACAATCACATATTTTCACTGAAAAGACAATTTCTTTAGTGTTTGATCACATTTCTTGCCTTTAGCTTTTTTTATGTGTTTAGTAGTTTTTTTGTGTGTTTTGATTTTAAGGTATAAAAAGTACGTGTTCCTGGATCCTCTGGCGGGAGCAGTGACAAAAACACACACCACGCTGGAGACGGAAAAAGAGGAGAAACCGTTTGACGCTCCTCTGTCCATCGCAATGAGGGAGCAGCTGGAGCGACAGGTATCTTCTGATGACAAACGGATACTTTCCCATCCGAACACCCAGGATTGTTTCAGCTTCATGTTTGTTTCGCAGACAGCAGAGAGTTTTTTCTACGTGCCAGATCTGGGTCACGTGCCTGAGATCGACGTGCCGTCCTACCTCCCCGACCTCCCAGGTATTGCAGACGACCTGTCGTACAGCGCAGACCTCGGGCCTGGATTCGCCCCATCGGGATCCACGCAGAACATCCCTGAGCTGCCCTCCTTCACCGAGGAGAGCGTCGCACCTGGTATACAACTCCTGTTAAGATTAGTTTTATTTCAAATCTTTTTTTTTAATCTTAGCTTTTACCTTTTAATTGAAAAATATACTGTATATATATATTAAAAAATGTAATTTTTTTTTATTTTATTTGTTTTTTACTATACCACCACCCCTTCACTCCTAATTTACTTACAATACTAAGTATTTTTTTTTATTTCGTTTACTCAGTATTGTTTTGTAAATTAGGTTTCGTTTGAATCTATTTTGGGTCTAAAAGGGGCAGACATAATAAGATTTATTCTTCCTCTGCTACCTTTCATTTTATTTTGATTTGTGTATTTTCTTGGTTTTTATCGTATATAATTATTTTTAAAGAAATGAATACATTTTTTGAATTGAATTGTACATAAAGACGACACCCACCTGACCTCAGCTTGTGATGAGCACGTTTCATCTTTTTGTTCCAGGAGTTCAGCACCAAGCAAATTCTCTACCACCTCCACCGCCTCCTCCCCCTCCCCCTCCCCCCGAGCCTGTCCTCACTCCTGCCACCCCTTCAGGAGCTCCTCCACCTCCTCCACCACTTCCCCCTACAGAGATCTACACAGACGTCACTAAAGCGCCAAGTTCAGGTTTGCCACATCAGTTCACGTCGCACCAAGAGCCACACGATTTAAAGAAAAAAATAAAAACTTAAATGAACCAAGCTGCCATCAGTGAGCCAGATTTCACCTCCTCCGTCCACAGGCCCCGTGTCCGGAGCTCCGAGCGAAGTGGTGCAGCCCTCGAACGGCCGCGCCAACCTGCTGGAGTCCATCCGTAACGCCGGCGGCATCGGCAAAGCCAAGTTACGCAACGTTAAGGACCGCAAGATGGAGAAGAAGAAACAGAAAGAGCAGGAGCAAGGTGTGCTTTCAACTAATCGCTAAATAAACTCCCTTCTTGTGCCTTAATGTTCGATTTTAAAGAGCCATCATCGCCCACCGCTGAAAGGACGATCATGATTTTGTGTGTTTTGCATGTTTGTTAGCAAAATATCTCTGATTAACACTTGGAGTCAGCCCCACGCAAGATGGCCGCCACATCTAACTAATGTTAACTCAGCAATCAGTTTCGCAGATTGGCCTATAATTGGGAGTGGTAGTAGCTGAGACTGATCTTCAACACACATCTGAGCACTAATTGCACTAAAATTTTCTTTAAACTATTTAGTCATATTTGTTCATTAATAAATGGATGGAATTGATAGAAACTTTACAGAAACATTCATTGTGTTAACCTCTACAAGTTATTGTTTGAAGTTTAATTATAAAACGGCTGCCACAGCCAACTGAATTATAGTTGATTTAATATTTGGTGAACGTTTTGTATTAAAAGATTGCTCAAAGGATTTTCAACGATTGATCAAATCCTCTTTCTTTTTATCACAGCAGGTGTTATGCTGTCCTTCAATGCCGGGCTTTTGATTTATAAGTTGTTAAGCTACTTCCTATTGTTTTTTTCAGCGGTCAGAGCTGCATCCAGCGGTGGAGACTTCATGTCGGATCTCTTCAACAAACTGGCCATGCGCAGAAAAGGTGAGGAGTCCGTTTCGTGTGCGTTGGGATTAGAAGGTAATGTTGGTTCACGTCCTGCCGTCCTCTCTCCAGGCATATCAGGAAAAGGCCCGGCCGGTGGGGAGTCCAGCGACGCGCCTTCTGGTACCGGCGGTGCGTTTGCCCGGATGTCGGATGTCATCCCACCACCTCCAGCCCCTCATTTGGCGGCAGATGATGAAGACTGGGAGGCGTGACGTGATCGGCGATGAACGGCACCAATAAAAGTTTCTGTTGAAACCTTTCACTACATTTCACAATAACCTAAATAACCTTTATCAACCATAATAACCTTTCATCAAATCTAACAGTAGTTTGAAGCAAAAATAAACATTGCTGACACATATGTTAAAATAATTTATTGGCATTATCATAAAATTTAATAACAAACCTTAAATACAAAACATTCATCAAGATGAACAATTAGTGATGAATATATTCTTTACGTATATAAAACTTATAATCAAACAGAATGCTGAACAAATATCCAACAACTACAAAATCTCATTTTTAAATTTACTAATAGACTGAATAAAAGTTGAGTACAACTATTAAATGTCCTTTAAAACCTTTGCCGGTGCAGTGGCATGAGATTATTAGTTTGTATTCTTTAGTTTTACTCTCTGAACATGTAATTTAAAGAAAAAGAAGTAAAAAGTATGAAACATAAAAAACACCTCATTTGTTCAGTATTGTATCTTACACTGTAGATAACATCATTTTTCAAAGTTTTTATATTAATAGAACTTAAATTCAGTAAACTGAACATTGACTCATTTTCTCCTCGGGGGGGAAAAGAAACTACAGTTGCTTCTGCTTCTTTTCCAGGAAGAACTACAAAAGAAAAATAAATAATGTTAAATGTGTTTGTTTATATTTATTTACAATGCGAAGCCTTGAGGATGCTGGTTCTCACCTTTCGTAAGGCAGCAAAAGCGGGGCCGAAGGTGGCGTGTGTGTTTGTGCGATCCTTGATCCAGGTGGGCAGTTTGGACAGCGTCGCAGGCCGAGAGTAGCGCCTGTCGCACAGGATGATGGAGGAGTAGTCGCCACGGTGTCGGATGGCTCTTCCTTTGGAGAGAACAGATGACAGACGTGTGGGTGTGGCTCGTGTGTACAGTTATACTCCCCATCACCGTTCCTCTCACCTATAGACTGATTGACGGCCTTCATGCAAAGGTTTTCTATTAGTGCCTGTCCTGGGCTTCTGCCTTGGCTGCGAGGCTGAAACAGACAAACGACAATCTCAACATTATCTTTTATCTCTGCAGCATTACTCTTATTATGTTAATAAAATGTTAACTATTTAGAAAAATAAATCTAACCAGGTGTTTGTCCAGGTAGGACATTTTTTCCTGCAGTTCTGCTGATTTGATGTTTGGATAAGGCATTCCTACCATCACCACACACCTGTAAACACACAAGTGCTAATGTGGATTTTTTTTATTTTTATTTTGTCTCAACGCAAAGCAAAGAGGGGACATCTGTCCTGTGAACAGGTGAGGTACCGAGTTCCATTTTGGTGTTTGGCTACGTCTAGGCATAAGAAAGGTCACCATTAAAAATTGTGTTGCCTTGTAAAAATCCAAGATGGACACCACCATGAACTAGGCTGATCATTTGAGTAAACTCTGCTTTCTGGTTTTTATATTGCTTAAAAGTAATGTTTCCCAAAGTGCATGTGTGACTGGTGGTCCCTGGCCCTGCCTTTGCACCTGAAGTTGGATGAAACTGCTCCCTCTGCACCGCCTCAGGCAAGAAAAAAATCAAACAAAAATACCTCTGTTCTTATACAGTCCAACTCTTACACACTTGAATTTCTTGCACCAAAATCATTAACTTGCTTTTCAGTCCAGAAAAACACTCATTCTCTCCAAATCCCTCAGCTATGGGAGACATCGGTTCACCTTTATTTATTTTTTTATATAATGAACAAGATCCAACAGCTGGTTGAGTACGTGTAAATAACACAAACCTGCCCAAGTCGTCAGAGAAGTTGATGCCCTCGCTCATCTTCCCTCCAACCACAGAGATCAGCAACGCTCCTGTGAGTCCGCTGCTGTCCACAGCACACTTCTGTAACGACAGGAGACAAGTTCCTGTTGGTAATCAAATCCATATTATTGCTACTCAGGTAATAAGTCAGCAGTGGCGGCGTTACCTGGATACAACGAGAAAACTCGTTTAGCACCTGCTCCACCTGGCTGGCTTTCTTTGGCTCCTGGAAGATCTGAGGAGAGGAGACATTTGTGATTTGTTCATTTTGAACATAAAAATTGTTTTGTTTTATGGTAGGACTTTTTTTATATATATATATAAACCTGCACCTTTTTCTTATTGGCCAGTCGGGCGAAGACGCCACCAGCTTCCCAGTGAGAAATGATTCGCCTTGAATACTCGTAGGAGGGGAAGAAACAGACCACCCCGCCGGGAACAACGTTGCAAATGTTGGAAAGGATGCGACCAGTTTCATCCATCTATTACCAAAAATAAAAAAAAAATCTTTATGGTAGTGATTGTTAAAAGAAACTCCAGTCAGTTAACTGTGGGGGGAAAAAAAGATAACTTTATAACATAATGTCAAAGCTGTTGAAGGTAGGGGTGCTTAGGGTGCTGCAGCACTCCCTGATGAATGTAGGACATGCATGCATGCAAAGAGAATTCACAAGAAATATGACAAAACATATTTTACTCATATCTTAAAATTCCCATATCTGTGAGTTTTGTAAATGTAGCCCTGTTATTGTAGGTGTGTGAGCAAAATTTTACAACCAATTAAAACCCACAAAAAAAAGCAGACCAGCAGCATCAGGTCATGATTTTATAAATATTATCCATCTGAATCCCCACCCCTCCAAATGATATGTTACCACCATGCATATCGTAGATTAAACCCTTTTAATTTTTTGCTGTTTTTGTTACCATTCGAGGAGAGTCTCTGCTCTGAAAAGTAAAATCCAGCTCCTGACCAGACGGGCCGGCGCACAAGACGAGAGGCAAGATGTTCTCCGGAGGAATCACGTGGCCTGCAGGAGGGAGAGCCAACAAAAATGACATGAAAACTAAAACTCAGCAACATGAGATTAAAGTTTGTTAACTCTATTTAATCAAAATGTCATTTTCTTACATTTAAAATAATCCAGTTCACAGAAAACCCATCAGTAATCTAAATTCAGTTTTGCTTGGCTTAAAATCAAAAATGTGTATAAATGTATAATTTACTATTTTTAATATTTTCAGTTATTTTATGCGAACTTATTTTCTTGTAATAAACAATGCTTTAGGTTTCATTCTAAAACATAGCATATATACCATTTTCTTATTTTTAAGTGATCTATAAATACAGCTGAAAAGACATTTACATAATGTCAACAGAATTTTACAACAAATTTTGATATATACAGATAACAGCTGTGCAAATACTACTGAATTAGCACCAAAAAATCTAAATAGCTCATTTCAAGTAAAGTTTTATAGGTGCTAAACCTAATAGATAATTTCATTTAGATTTTTACCTCTTTAAAATTAAAATGTCCTCATTGAAATAACTTTGCCAAAAATAAAAAAAACAATATGCGCTCTGACAGGCATTCACTAAATTATTTTTAAAAGCTAAACAAATGTTAGCAATTATTTTAAAATTTGAGATGAATTACAATACTATTTAGCTACAATGTTTTTTAAGACCTCTGAAAGACTGATTCAAGACATTTTAAGGCTAATACAGGCCTTATTTTTGGATAGATTAATTCAATGCCTTTTAATGCTTTTAAAGGATCTGCAGGAACCCTGATCATAGAAAACATCTCTATAAACTGATGCAATGTGTAAAAGAATTAAAAATAAGAGCTGCTCACCGCAGGAAAACTCAACGATCCGCTCCTCTTCCACACCAGCAGAAAACAAAAGCTCCTGTTTGAAGTCTGAAACCTACGTGTGATATATTTCTGTGTTAACGAAGTGAACGTAAATACTATATTAATGGTTGTTTCTGAAGGAGCTCACGGGCTGCATGGTGCCTCCAGCGATGATGACAGCTCTGCACTCCTTCAGCACCTGAGCAAAGTGGACTGCTGGGTTCAACAGGAGGAACTTGACGCTGCTCTCTGACAAAACGTCTGGGAAATAAACAAACATAAATAAAATCTGCTGTCCCCCCCCACCACAAACAGCTCGATAATTAGCCTTTTCTTTGAAACGTTTGGAAAAATAGATACCTTGTTTGCGCACCACCACCCTGCCGTCAGTATTACTGTTAGTGAGGGCCATGAAGAAACCCTCCACTTGCATCATCGGAGACACAGCCAGCACTTTGTCTGCTTCTGCTGCCCCCTGCTGGTCAATTGAGGAAACTGCATACAGAAGAGTACAAACTATGAATCAGTTTTGCTGTTTTAAATGAAGCTCTTGTACATACTGTGCGCAGCTGACTTTTGTCTTCTGAGTCACCTGGTGCGGAGCTCTGGCTGCTCTGTAGGGTCTGGAGGTAACGATTTAATCCTTCTGTGCGACGGTTCTCCTTGTTGGAGCTGCTGGTGTGCAGAGTAACACCTGAGCCTGCGTACTTCTCCATAAATCCACCCAGCTGCAGACAGGAAACAGCTGGCTCTCGTTGGGTTTTACAGTACGTAATACTCAGAAGTATACAAATATATATATTAACTTACCTTCCTGCTGATCATGCTCTTCTCAAAGTATTTTTGTAACTAAAGAGAGAATACAGATTTACTCGTAGTTGTGTTGAATTTGATGTGATTTAAAAAAACAACTATGATAACTACCTTAAACAAGTTTATGTTGTCGATCTGAGCCCTGAATAGGAAGTTATTGATGGAGTGCATCTCTGTCCCTAGAAGAAACAGAGCTCAGTGGTTAGAGAACTCTGCTTTAATGTGAATTATCTTTTATTTTCCCCCCATCGACTCCTAACCTGCTTGTGTAGTCTGGCTCTGTGGATTCTGCCCAACTTTCCCTGCAGAGAAGAAGAAAACAAATGAATACATGTTGCAAGGATCTGTGAGTAAAGACAAACAGCTCAGAATCACCTCCTAGCACACGCACCAGCCCCTCAACAACGAACAGAATCTGCTTGATGTACATCACGTTTTTTGCCTTTAGTCTGCTCCTGGTGTTGAATGGACACGAGTACGTTACGTACGAGGGGGAGACCCAGTGGGATTAGTGGCGTAAATCTCTTGTGTGACACTTACTTGTAGCGATCGGCGTACTGCCTGAGCTGGCAGTGGGCGCGGCAAAGCTGCAGGAATTTTTGAGAACGTTAGCATATCGCTAAGGCCAAACGATAGCTCAGGTTTGAAGAGTTTACCTGTGCTCCAGTGAGCTCTGCGCTGTGTATGCAGGAGAGAGTGTCGCTCAGATTGTGAGCTTCGTCTATGATCACCACCTGTGTGAAACGCAAGAGTTTGAATGTCAGTTGTATAATAAAAAACAAAAAAATTATAGCCGTTCTAGAGATTTCTATTTTTATAATTACTTCTTGTAAATTGTGTTACTTACTGTATGAATGCTTATCAAGCAATTTTATTCTTGAATTTTTGTCCTATTTTCACAATTTATAAATTAAAACATTCAGTTCTTTCAGGACATTACTGCTATGACTTTTGGTACTTCAGTAATTTATACTTTTTGAGAAATGCAGCTTTTTCGGCCATGTTTTTCTCATTGAAATATCCTTAAAAACCTTCCTTCAAAATGTTCATAAATCTTTACTGTACTTTTTGGTTCTTTGTGCTAATTTCAGCTTGCTTCGGCTTCTATTTAGCTGATTTTAGATTTTTTTCTGCCTTTTTTTTAGACATTCTGAACCTTTCTGCTATTCTTCTGCTAAGTTCAGCTTTTTTGCGCTTCTTTCAGCTTTTTTCTGCCATTTTAAGCTTTTATGTCAGCTGTTTTCTCATAATGTCAGCTGTTTTTTGTGTTTTTAGCTACTTTTGAGCTAATTTGATCTTTTTTTTCCAACTAAAATCAACTTTTTGTGATAATTTTAGTTTCTTACTGCTTAATTCAGCAAATGTGTTTTTCTTTTTTCTTTGTGCTAACTTCAGCTGTTTCAGCTACTTCTTTTGATGCTATTTTAGGCTAGTTTTTCTTAGCTATTCAGCTAAAATCTTTCAGCATTAAGCATTCACACTGTTATTTTTACTTTTTTATGTTTGCTTTCATGTGTTTTTATCAGTGTACAGCACTTTGTGCAACAATGTTGTTTTTAAAGTGCTTCCTGAATAAAGTTGTATTTTATTGTATTTTGTAAATTACAGTGTAACTCTTCCAAATGATGAACAGATTACAAATGATCAGCAGTTACCATACCTGCCCCTTCAGCTGGACCCCTGCTGCTCTTCTTGTAGCTTCATGAAGCACCATCTGATAGGGCAACACAACCAACTGCAAAACCACAAAAAAAACAATTACAGCTGCTTGCAAAGAACAACATCAAACCAGTGCAGAAGTAACAGACCGCGTTACCTGTGCAGGTGGAACAGTAAGACGTGCAGCGTAATAAGGGCATGAATGCGTCTCTTTGCCCAGTTTCAACAAATGCTCCACATCGTGAACACACCCCAGAATCTCATCCCTCATCTGCTGCAGAGCAGAAGCTTTGTTGTAAGGACACACGCTCTTCGCAGGACCCCTCTTACGTTTCGCACCGTCTTCGTGATCCTGCTTCTCTGCAAAGTGACAGTAAAAGCTGTAAGCTCCCAATAACAAAAAGGAAAACCTCTGTTTTTTTTTTTTTGTTGTTGGATGAGTAGCTGTGCAGCTGAATGACATACGGTGCTTGTTTTTCTGCATCTCCAGGCAGCGGTCGTTGATGCGCTGCACGCTGCCCAGCTGTCGCACCTCCTCATTGATGCACAGATTCTGCAGAGCACAGAATACAACAGCAATGTAAACACATTATTATTTAGACACACATAGCTGTGTGCAAATATACCGAAACATTGCTCATTTGTGTTTCCTTTCAGGTAACACGTGTAGGAATCAAGTCACAGTTTAGTTGATGTTAGACGTCAGGAAAACATTCAGTTATGAAAACTGAAAATAGGTTTTAAAGAAACTGCCTGCTTCTAGTTGGGTAAAATGTTCCAGACCAGCAGAGGTGCCAGGAGCAAACTATAATTGGTTGACCTTTTCAGAAATTACTTTTTGCCATTTACAAGCTCCTTTTATGTCCTGTCAGAGTCTAGAAACATTTTTCTACAAATTGACACGTTGCATAACTTCTCTTTTACATCTCACTATGATCTGTAAAGATGCCTGGTTGAAAACTCGTGATTTTATAGTAAGTACATGCTCAAATGTATTTTAAACTTGGTCCTAGTCATGAGCCAAGCTGGTTTAATATTTATTGAAACAAAAAGATAAATTAACCTTGATTTCTATACATGTCAGAATTTAGATAAAAAATAAAAACGACCTTTCCCCTATGACATTTTATGTAGATCTTAGAACTAATAAATAGAAATATCTAATTTAAAGACACATTCATTTCTTATGCCATGATAAATGCCATATTATTATAATGCCATAGATTATTTATAATCACAACTTTTGCATTTTATATACATTTTATCACAACCCATCAAATCATTTAAAAAACCTTCACTAAAGATAAATAAAGCAAACTTTCTGACACACTGAGGCACATTAACTCCTTTTGTTAGCTGCATGTTTAAGAACATAATCAGTCATTTGACGTTCTCTGTTGTCGAACTTCCTTTTCTTGGCTTTAAAGTTGATTGTGAGAAATCTACGCCGAACGGGTTCAGTTTTTATAAAAAGCAACATGAGCAAAAAACCAAAACAAACATTCCCCTTCAAGTACTGGAAAATCTCTCGTTAGTATTATGTGTTCATACCTGGCGAGAGCCCAGTGTGACCACACTGATGCTCTTACTGAAGGGACTCTTCTGAACCTCGCGGACAAACTGGGCCAGCTGGGAGTGAGTGCGACTGCAGTAATAAATCTAAAAACAAACACATCGTCTCGTGTCAGAGTCCAGCGTGATACGAATCAGTTTGGACTTTTATGCCTTTTGACACAAACCTTCGTCACGTGCTCTTCAACCAGCTCATCGTCCTCCTCATCCTCGCCTTGGAGGAACCTGAGCACACGGAGCGAGCAGACTTGTTGTCATCTTTGTATTTCAGATAGTTTGAACTGCAGAACAATTGTTCTCACCTGTTTTTACTTTTTGATTCGTCATCACTTTCATACTCTGCAACAATAAGCTCTTCGTCCTCCTGATCCCCTGCAGTTTCAGTCCGTTCCTCTTTGCTTAGCTGAAGGAACTTTATCGTTTCATCTTCCTCTGAACTCTAAAGTCAGAGTGAAACACTTTAATTTCCTTCTTTTATGTGGTTCAAGGTGAATATTGCAGCTGATCTTACCTTTCTTTTACTTGCATACTTTAGGTGAGCGTTGTTTCTGATCATCTCTAAACGTTCTTCCCTCTTCTTCCTTTTTAACTCCTCCTCCTGACACACAAAGGTTTTGGTTAGAGTCAAAAGCAAAAAAGGGAAGTGGTGGGGGGGGATAAACATGAATAATCCTGCTGAAGTTCACTCTCACCTTCAGCTTTGACACTAATTCACGTTCAGCCTTTTTCTGGACAAAGTCGGTGATCCAGTCCGGCTCTGCCGAGGAGCTGGTGTTGGAGGATGGAGCAACCGAGGTGGAGAGAGCTGCTTCTCCTTCCTGCAGCAGAGCAGCTGCCTCCTGCTTCTTCTTCTCCTCATAATCTGTCAGCCAGCTCAGGGCTCCACAGATGAGACTCAGTGACTTGCCCTAAAGAAAAAAAATGTGGACATTCCATGGAAGGTGAAGGCAGAGCATTGTTTTTGCGTGCGTCGGGAGTCAATTCAATTCAAGATGGCCACCACAGGTAACTGACCTTGGATCACACAGAAATGGTGGTTGCAGCTGACGGTCAATCACAACACATACTTGAAGCACTAATAGATCATGCCAGATCTTGCATAATCGTACATTATTATGTTAAATGAATTTATGTATTTGAATTGTTTTTAAACACACCGTTCCAGTTGGGCTTTCAAAGATGCCAACTTTGCCTTGGTCCAGAGCACTGTAGAGGGCTCGCATGAATTGCTCCTGGATGTTATAGGGTTGGTAGGGAAATGGAAACTGGGCCCTGTCATTTTCCATGGTCCAGATGCACCTGGAAGAAAAAAAATAAAAAAATAAAAACAGCATTCAGTTCAGACTGGCCTGTCTTGACTTCTGGCAGTGATTAAGCGTCACGTTTCTCAACTCTACAAAAGCAGATGAATGTTATTCAAAGATAGATTACATTCTGTGAGTTACTATAACCATCCGCCTACAGATGCAAGCTATACCGATGCCTTAAATGGAAAACATGGGATAAAATACAAAGCTAGCCAAAGCAATGCAGGGTCAAGTCTTCTTATTATACAGCTACATTTGCCCTCTGACTTTCAAAAGATACAAAGATAAGCTTATAATTGTAAACTTACAAGATATGTGAATTATCGTTCCTTCTTATGTTAAACTCCCGGCATTTCAATAACCGCGCCAACAAACAGAAGCAGCCACGTAGTGTGGCCAATAGGGAGCGAGATACAAAAAGGAGCGTGTGTTATGTTATCTGACACCAGACTTGTGAGTGGAGCTATTTAATACTAAGCTATACTTTGCTAATTCTCCCAACTATATTTGATTATTTCAGAAAACAAGAAGCTATGATTGTTTTGTGTTAGTGTGGTGGAGTTTAATATTTACCCAAGTTGTTCTCTCTTTTAAGCACCGCCTTTTCGGTAGATGCTCGCATCAATGTGTAACGCCACTAAGGCTCGCTCGTCACGCTTGAGCCTTCTGGACTGTCTCTGGAAAGTTCTCTGCTCTTCCACCGCGCTTGTCAGCTGCCATACAGCGAAGCAACGTGAACTGGCAGCGATCATTTGTCGGATTTAAGCGTGGCTACATCAGCTTTTGTGCAGTTGTCTTGATGCTGCATCGTGTCCATTAATTTAAGGCAGCAATAACAGTAAAGTTGCGTCAGCGCAGACAGCTTTTAACGACGACGGGAGAGCCTGCTGGTGTTGCTTGTTGCACTAGCGTGACTCGCGCATAGCCAGCGTCAGTCATTTAGTTTAGATTACGCTGCGTTGTCTGGTTAGGGGTCTTGACTCATGACTATGACTGCAGAAAAACAGACAGGCGGAGGACAACACATAATGGAGGGTGAAGACATCACACCAAAGAAAGATGGGGGCGTTTTAAAGGTAAGTAACCATGTTTTTGTACTCTTAGCTAGGCTAACGTTAGCCGCTTTAGCAAGTATCTGTCACATGCAACCTAAAGAAAACAAATTGCAATGTTGAGAGGACTGCGCTGTATTTCCCCCCTCCTGAGTTGTTGCTTTTGGTGCACACATCATTTATTACTAAGGGATCGCATTGACGTCGAGAATTGGCTTCGCAACCCTGAGCATTTCCAGAAGTATGGGGTAAGAGAACTGTCAGAATCACTGTATGTGTAAGAGTCTACATTTGTACACGCAAGTCTATAAACGTACATGAATTTGTTACAACTTTGCCACATTACAAGTATGAATCAAATTTACAAGTACGAATCAAATTTACAAGTACGAATCAAATTTACAAGTACGAATCAAATTTACAAGTACAATTCTTTTACCTGTCAAAATAACAGACACTATGCATGGAACACCGAAAAGATCGATTGTAAACAGTAACTAAGCCAGACCACTGGGGGGACATGACCACTGCCTCAATTGGGACCAGATGAACTCTTTAAAAACACAATTTGCTGAAGGGAAAAGCATTTGGAGGCGTTTCAGTTTGTCTTTCATGTCATGTAAGTACAACAATAAAGTATATAGTGGATTTATGATGAAGTATGTTATTTTATTTAATTTTTACTTTAACACATTTTATTTTAAAAATATTTTATTCAATTTCTTAAACAGAATCCTGCTTTTATGATAGTCTTTTTTGAACATTTATTTTATTTTTCTTTTGCACTTTGTCATAATGTTTTGTTTGTGGAAAGCACTGATTTGTCTTGTTGCTGAAATGTTTTATATAAAGCTGCCTTGCCTCAGGTCAGCAGCACAATAATTAATATACAGTGGAGTGATGACGAAATGTTCCAAATTATTTATAGACAATATTTTTTAAGTAACTTCTCTTTAACTTATGATACTGTTAACACTACTCTACACTACTACTGAAGACTGGAGCCAGGTGGAGAACAAACCTTCAGATGGTTGAAGTACAGACGTCTTCATGACCTGCAGAACATCAGGACTGATGCTGGAGCTTTCTGCAGAACATCAGGACTGATGCTGGAGCTTTCTGCAGAACATCTGGACTAATGCTGGAGCTTTCTGATACATGTGTGCATTCAGGTGTCAGAAATACTCAGAAACACCACGACAGGCCAGAGCAGGGAGATGAAAATGAATCAATGAAAATATTAATTTCATTTTAGTGACCGTTGAAAGAAATATCAGTAAAAAATTAATTTTAATAAAAATGAAGTATTTATGTCACAATGTAGTAGTAATAATAGTAGTACACTATATTATGTGTTAAAATGTGTTATTTGCGATACGTTTCATTAAACATTTTAACAATTTATTGCCCCCCCCCCTTTTTTTTTTTACTATATTCATTGTTTTATCTATCACTCACAGCTCATAGTTAGGTAAAAACAAAAGTGTTGAATATTTAAATTTTTTATTTATTAAAGTAAAACCATCAATCAATGTCAAATAAATGAAAACTTCTAGGTAAGCTTTAATATAAACAGATTAAACATCCTGAGTTTAAAAAAATATGTCAAGGCCTGGTGTTTGACTTCCTCAGCTCTAAACAGGTCATTTTAAAACTGTACATTTGTATTAACTGAACTTTTCAGCTGTCATGAAGGCTTTAAAACCCTGATGGATAGATTTTGTTCCAGTGTCTCCTCAACCTGCTGCTGGTTCAGTTCTTCAGATGGTCAGGAACTCCATAACCTCCTCGTCCACCTGTCAGATGTAGGCGTGGATGTAGAGGACATCTGTCCCGGGTCCATGATGGGCTGAACGCTGCTCGCTGCATCAACTGCACTTATCTAAAAATCAACAGGTTAACAAGACTGATTTATTTTAACTTTATTGAATTATATTAACTTTATTTCTATTAAATTTATAATATTACTGCTAATACAACTATTTGACCTGATGTGGGGTGGAACTGGCTTCCACTGGTTGTAGTCTCACTGATGGAGCCTGATGGTCTCAGTCCTGCTCTGATATAAAGGTCTGGAGACAGGTCCTCAGTGGGTCCACAAACAGATTCAGGTCCATGTTGAAGAAAAGTAAATTAAAAAGATCACAGTTATAATATCACACAGTCACAGCCAGCAGTCTCATTAATCAGACAGCAAACATTTTTCTACACATGTTGGTCACTGAAATCTGAAGGAAGTAGTTTGGTAGTAGTTAAAAATAGATTAACTTAGTTAAACACAGTTTAACTTTGATTTATGGTGATTCTAATTAAAATCAGTGTCCGTGTATTTCTGACAAAGCTTTAAAAATGTAGCCAACAAGGTCTTAATAAACAAAACAAAATATAGTCAGAGAAAGCTTTTTAAACTCACTGTTAACACCAATTAGGTTTTGTTCTTTTCAAGCCGTTCTAAATAAACTTCGACTGAACAGGAAACATGAGGCTGTTTTTTCTTTCCTATTCATATCATCATGCTAACGCTAACACCATGTTAACAACAACAGCAATCAGCGAAGCTCTACTTTCAGCATAGAAACTGTTTAAACACATCCTCTTACAAATACTGACAAGTACTACGTGTACCAAATGTGAAATAAATAATACAAACTACTATTAAAAGTAAAAAGAGTTTAACACAGTTGTTTAGGGGTTTGATGGTGGGCGACTTGAGTCCCCCTGCTGGCCGGGTCAGAGCACTGCCGTTATGTGTTTTTGAACTTGCATTATTTTTTCCATTATG